GAAAGAAAGAAAGAAAGAAAGAAAGAAAGAAAGAAAGAAAGACAGAAAGAAAGAAAGAAAGAAAGAAAGAAAGAAAGAAAGAAAGAAAGAAAGAAAGAAAGAAAGATTATTTATTTAATTATTTAATTTAATTTATATACCACCCAATTAGTGCATACCACTATTCTGGGCGTTATAATACCAAAACAAAAGCAACAGTGACATAATCAAGCAAACAACAAGTAAAGAAAAACAAGAGTATAAACCCAGATGGTGTAATAGAACCAGGCAGTAGTAGAAGATGGACAAGATCAGGGGGAGGAGGCTGCCACTGAAAGCTTCCCGGAACAGCGGAGTCTTCAGCAGCCTCTCAAAGTTGGAGAGAGAGGGGGCCAAGTGTAGCTCTGTCTGAAGATGGTTCCAAAGAGTTGGTGCCACTGTCAGGAAGGACCAGCTTGTCAAAGATTTTCTGTCAATTTTCTGTCAGAAACATCTGCCAATTGTGGAGGTAAGAATTCATAATGCAAAAATCATTTGAGCATATCTCTATTTCTCAAACTGGAGTGGGGGAGAGCCTTTTATTTAAAGTAAGACGTTATGCTTCAAAGTGTTTCCCCGCTGGAGTGGGGGAGAGCCTTTTATTTAAAGAATAAAAGAATAAAATTTAAAGAATAAAAATAAATAAGAAGTTATGCTTCAAAGTGTTTCCCCAAAAGTAAGGAAATTCAGAGCACAAATCAACTTTCTCTCCTCACTCAAAAGGCAGGCCCCATTGATGCATCTTTCTTGTATCTTCATTTCTGCTCCAAGCAAATACAAGATGTGAACTCCACATTTTGATTTCCTATTGAGGATAAAATATATATGTTTATATAGGAGTTAAGTTTATTTAAGACAATGTATCTCTTCCCTTAAATACAGAAACATCTGACTGTATCAGTAAAAATTACATAATTGATGGTAAAGGTTCCCCTTGACAATTAGACCAGTTGTGTCCGACTCTAGGGGCGGTTCTCATCCCCGTCTCCAAGCTGTAGAGCCATAGACAGTTTCCGTGTCTACGTGGCCAGTGCAACTAAACATGGAACACCGTTACCTTCCCATGGTGGTGGTACCTATTTATCTACTTGCATTTTTACATGCTTTCAAACTGCTAGATTGGCAGGAGCCAATTGATGACAGGGCAGCAAATCTCCTGTCTATAGGTGCTGGTATTAGCAAAACCTGCTTTTCATTTCAGTTCTGTCACACCATGATGAAATGCGACATAGGGAATGGAATGTCTAGTAGGACTGTGTTGTGCTGTTTACATGGGCTTGAAGCTAAGGCACAAAAAAGAGTCTATTAACATACTCATTTTTTGAGGTCAATCTGTGTCCTGAATTTCCATACTTTGGGGTTACTGCTTCAATTGCAATGTTATGCTTTAAACCAAAGTCTTTTTCTTCTGGAAAATTCCTCTTGTTTTTTAAAGTATAGGAAGACATAAACAACAACAGACAATAATGCTGGAAAAGAAACTGTCTCTTCAGATCAGTTTACAATAAACAAATTTTAAGCCATTGGACAAATAAACAAAACAAACAAAACAAATAGTCAACAGCAGGATGGCACCTTGGAATCATCAAGGCTTCTCCTAAATACTTAAATCAGAAGGAAAGGAGTCTGTGATGGATGGGAGTTTCTTAAGGATGAGAAGCTGAACACACAATCACATACAATTTCTCTGAGGCAATAAAAGTGGGAGACATCTGAAGAAAAGGGGGTGGCTGCATAAAGAGCTTACAGGTGAGCTGAAAGGGGCATGCAGAGGGAATAGAAGGAGGGGAACATTCTGGAGGAGTTCAAACAAGTTGCCAACAGAGAGAAGGTCAGGAAGACTAAGCTCAGAATGAACTCAGACATTCAAGAGAGGTTAAAAATAATAAAAAGGATTTTGTTTTTCTTCAAATAAGCTCAAAGAAACAGGAGGAAGAAAGAAACAGTAGATCCGCTATTTCCGTCTTGCAAGACTACATTTACAATGCAGTGTGAGTCATCAACCGCTAGATGTCACAATGAGGATTATTTTCGAAGTTGTCAAAGGATGTGAAAGGATATTCAGATTTGCACCGCTAGATGTCACAATGAGGATTATTTTTGAAGTTGTCAAAGGATGTGAAAGGATATTAAGATTTGCAGACGTTACATACAGCACTGATGTTACCTGTCTGTCATGGGTTTGGAGGGAAAGTTCCATCCTATGGGGAGTGGAAGGCGGGACATCAGGAGGAGGGGCTGTACTGTATAAATATGTGAAGCGTGTGTGGAGAGATACTGTGAGATGCTGGGTGAGACACTGGGTTGTGACGAAGCAGCAGCTGGGAAGAAGAAGCTGTTGTGGGAGTCTGTGTGTCAGACAGGGTACTTCTGTGTGTCAGAGTACCAACCTGATAGGTTCAGGTGTCTGTTGGGTAGCCAGAACTGATAGGTTCAGGGTCTGTGCTTCAAGTTAAGGGTTCTGTGTGAACCAAACTGTGTGTATGTATGTGTGAGAATAAGCCACGTTACTTTATCTTATTTACCTGATTGTTTATTTTTCCCTGTGTGTATTTAAAATAAACCTTATTCTTTTTATTGTTGGAAAAATCCATCCCTGGTCTGTGTGACTTCTTAAAGGGAATGGTTGGTGGCAGCTTAGTGTAACTGTGTGACATATCCCAGTAGGTCTGGGTTTGTCACAAGTAGTACCCATTGGAGGCTTCCAGCATATACAGTATATGGGAAAAATAGCCACGTGATCCTTCTGTGAATGGATCACACAACTACAGTTTATATCTGTTGCTGGAAATACCACAATAAGCTACCTAGAATAAATTCTACTGCCATGGGAAGAGGCTGTTTCATGAAAGGGCGCTCTGGTGAGTATTCTATCTCTTCTGATCACTAGGTTTGAGTACCAATTATCTACCAGTTGGGCTGTACTGATGCAAAGACTGCCATCATTTATTTATTTATTACGTTTATACCCTGCTTTTCCACTAAAAAATAGCGCTCGACTTATACGCTTTTTAAGCAGGCTTGCAAACATTACATTTGAGAGCTGGTTTGATGCACTGGATGGAATGTCAAGACTTTTGCTCAGGAGACCTGGGTTCAAGTCCCCACTCACCCATGGAAGCTTACCGGGGAGTGCCAATGGAAAACTACCTCTTGAACATCTTGTATACCTCAAACATCCTTTTAGAGTTGTCATAATCCTGGGAGACAGCTTGATGGCACACAACAAGAAAACTTAACAACAGCTCCATGCTTTGCTGCTCCAAGCACATTACAAAACTAAGATAGGAGGAGGGAGCCAACCCTTTGTCTTCTGTGAGATGGAGAGTCTGTAAATTAACAAATTTGTTATCTCCCAACATATCCACACAGTGGCGTTGTCTCAGGGGGTTCTGAATTGCTGGTGTTTTTGTTGGTTTTTTTAACTGTGGATTTAAAAACATAATCCCAGTATTTGTGTCCACACATGAGAAGGATATTTGTTGTTGGATTTACTGGGATGCCTTGTGTTGCTGTACCACCTCTTCACACACATCACTCTCAACACAAACTGATCCCCACCCCCACTTTTACCTGTGTTCTCTGCCTTCTCTCTACTTTCTTCACTTGCTCTTCCTTTCCCTCCTTGTTTTTCCTATCCACAGTATACAGAAGGTAGAGATAAAGCAGCAGAACAATGCCCACAAAGAAACACCATCATTTGACAGCCATCCACAAAGTGGACAGACCAACACAGAACAACAGATTCATAGTGCACATATGAACAGATCCCTCGTTAGATTAAAGAAGAGCAAAAATACATCACCACCTGGCAGTGGTGTAAAAACATCAAGAAAGGACATTTTTGTTCTAC